GTTTTTGTTCAAATACCACAAGTCCAGGTTGATTTAGGCTAGCTTGTGACACAACAGATGACGGATGTGGATGGGTATTTCCAATGCTGTTCCCATTATTCACAATATGGTTAGGATAAAACCCAGCCATGATGCATGCGTTCACCACATTTCAATTGCTGGAATTTTCGTTCAATTCACGCATTGATTGCGAAATCATACCAGATTTGCATATGTAGTCGAAGATTAAACATCGAATGCCTTCGGCTTTTAACATGTTACCTTGTGAAATGTAATTCTCGACACAAAATTTTCGTTGATGTTCCCGTAATTGTTTCGACCAATTTTGAATTATATTGAAATACAGTTGATGGTCGCTATATTTATTTTCTGCGAATCGATTTTTTGTTTCATTGATTTTTTCAGTCACTTCCTGTGTATTTTCAAATGAAAGTACGAATAAATCTTTCACCGACAGTGCACTGGAAATCATAACAATGGGATCCAAACATCGCAAAATAATTGCGTAGAAGAGTGTCTTACTCAATTGACAATCGATTGGCATGTTTACCAAATGTTTACCGTGTTTACCCAAATTTGTAATATTTTCGCTTGCAACGTAGACGACATCATCTATTGTAAGTGCTGTTTCTGCAATATTTGTAGATAATATTATTTTTCGAACGCCATTTTCCATGCGATCAAAGACATGAGCATGACCCTCATTGTTTTCATCATTTAGTTCGCTATGCAGCGCAAAAATCTTATAACCCCAATCCTGTAATCCATGTACGCTTACTAACTTTTCATGTTGTTCGCATATATCGTCGTAGCTGGGCAAAAATACAAGAATAGCGCCATTTTTTGACGTATTTTCATGGATATGATCAATGACATGAAAAAGTAAGTTGTGATCAATAATATTTTGTGTGCCTTGTGTTGATCGATACGCTCTTCCAATTTCCACGTAATTTTTCCATGTTGTGGTGGATGTCACACGTTCATAACACATTAAGAGCTCACAACCCTCACAACATTCCTCTTGTTTATTTTCTTTCGCATAATCAATTGCGCTTTTACCAAATGGATCTTTAAAGGTCGCACTTTCACCAAAAGCCAAAAGCTTTAACATCATATTCAGTGAACCATTTTCCGCAGCAATTCCCAACACGGTGCGTTGCTTTGTACGATGAACATAATTGGCCGGCATGTAGTCGCCTTCAATGAGAGAAAAAACGTTTTCAAATGATTCACAATCTTTTCGCAAAATATAAGAATCCAGGCGACTGTCGCACATTAAGCGATATGATCGCGGCATGTCTTCTATAGAATGAAATAATAAACAATAAATTAATATGTTACGTAAAGATGCGTTTTTCTAAGCAATGATTTGATCTTTGTGCTTTATAAGGCAACCGATATGTAATAGCTAGTATGTCACAAAATAACTTACAGTTTGCACACAAAAATTTAATTTTTTTCAACTAATAGGAACTCTCGCAAAATTGCGTTATGAAAATAATGTGTTTACGGTTTTGACAGATTATTAATGTCAACGTATACGTATACGTAAACACTTTCTCCACATTGTGGAGAAAAAAACAGATATGTGGCATACCAAGAGATGGTGTTGTATGTTATGAATCTTTTTTCATTGTTTGACATCAGGGGGGGTTGATATTAATTTTAACCCTGTCTGAAATCGAATGTTCTTCGAGTAAGCTCTTTGGACACCATTCCTGTCAGATCGTATTGTGGATATTTCTCAAAAATTTCTTCATAGCTGAAAATAAATTCAAGTGAATACGAAACTTTACTTAATAAATGTAAATTCGGTGATTACCTTGTAGTTGCATCAAATTGAAAACCAAGTTTTCTAGCCATGCTATTCGAAGCGTTATTTATAAACACTGTTGAAGTAACGGCTACGTCGTGATCATGACAAACTCTTCCCCGAATTCTCACAAGTTGTTCACCGATACTTCGTCGGCGATAATTTGGATCGACGGCTAGACCTTCGGACGCCAAATACTTTTCAGTGTTGTACTTTTCGAATACATTAAATTGAATTACGGAATTTACAGCATCCTGCATATCGTCCATTATCAATGTTTCTACAGTAGTTGCCTAATCAGAAATGAAGAAATGTAAATCAAATAAGTGGTAATTTGTGTTGAAATTCGTTACCTCTGGATCATAATCTCGATCTGCTGGTTGATATACACGAGTTTTACTTTTATCTTTTATAAACAGCAAAGCAACACCGATAATTTTATTTGATCCTTCCTTATGGCAGTACACTGACATGCCTCGATTAAGTACATTCGTCCACTTTTTTCTGTGTGACGAAGGGTCATCGCAATCCATGTATTGCTCCATGAATTCCAATGCTTTTTTATATTTTCCTTTGGGTAAATAATCAATGTGATACTGAGTGAGCGTCACATTATCAATGTCTCTTGCCCAAAATGAGGATAAACTTGCTTCAGCTATTGATACGAGAAAAAAAATTCCAACGAGCGTTAACAAAGTGATATTTGATATTTTCATGTTGAAAAATCTTTATCAAGAATAATAACAGTTTGAGAAACGATTTCAGTAGTTTAAAACAATTAAAATAATTCCATTGAGAATCGCTTTATATAGGAACATTTGAATCATTTTATTCAAAATTGAATTTGTATTAATTTACACGTTCAAATGTATTTTCAAATAAAATTAAATTCAAATACGTCAATGCATGTTATTGTAATATGAGAAATTTCAGAGCTTTGACGTCAAAATAATTCATTCAACAAAATGAGTGTTTTCATCTATAATTTTTCTGATGAAATTTATTTTTGTTGGAGGGCTACTGAATGTTCATTACATATTTTCCTACGATTTGATTGTTTTTGAATACCTAATTAAAAATAAAGACTTTGATTGTTTCTGATTATTAAATTGAACTCATACAACGTGTTATGGTATTTAATGAATATATCACATCAACTACTTCCCTCCATAAGCATTCTATAGTTTTTTTTTCCTTGATGATGCAAATGAGGTCTCACTTTGTTTATACACTCTCGTAGAGAGCCTCTCTAGACCCAAACATATACTTGAAAAGCACTATCACTGAACTTTTAAGATAGAAAGTTCAGAATAACCTCAACAAAAGACCGGATGAAGTCGTACGAGTGATGGCATATAAGATGTAAGCAGTGGGTTTATCAGTTTTTCCAAACGAGCGAAATTGCAATGGTTTTGGTAATATTATTCTCTGATTTTTGCATTTTTTTCTGGATGTTTAGTCGAATGTCCGCACATGTAAAAGTCGAAACTTGGGACTAGGTTTAAATAATTGTACCAAAAAATGTACTTAATTGTACCGCAATTTATTTTTAATTGTACCTTACTCGTTTGGATAATATTTGAGGTTCAAATTTCGGGGCACTTCAATTTGCCGGTCAACTAGCCAAAATAAAACTCAAAGATATTTTTTGAATTTTTATGGCTGATAATAATTGTACCTAAAATGTACCTTCAAAATAACATCATCATAACAAAAACCAAAAGTGCTTAGTGTCATCGATTTCGGCTCGGATTCATATATTTCGAGGGAAAATAAAATGTTCTGCATCCACATCTTTTGAACAAAAAACGTGACAAACAACAAAAACATGGCTCTTTTCAGAAGTAGCAGTGCAATCTGATTCGTAGGTACTGAAAAGTTCCAAAGAATTGGTGGGTACTGAATGGCTTGAAATTTCATGATAAAGAAAGAACGATTCTAATATCAGTTCTAATCAAATCGAAATTGTATTACTTTGTAAATGATTCAACATTTTTGCAAGAGAATTTAAGATGAAATATTTTCCTATTTTGAATCAAACCAACATTTGATTGACGTAAAAATAAGAGAATACAATTTTGAATCTTATGTGCCTAATGATAAAGGTTAAATTTGAAACAATGACAGATATTTATTTGTAATGATCTTAATCTATTTTTAACGATGTTTTATTGCTCTTCTCTTTTTTTCTTCAGCTTCTTGTCGCATATCTTCCAAGTCTTCCATCAATCCAATCTTTTTGCTAACAAATTCTTCGCGTTGTTGTTGTGCATATGAACTCTCCATGTTGCTAATGTCATCATCTTCATCTCGATAACGTCTCTTATCATAGCCAAATATGTTTCGAATTTCTTTCGAATAATCGTTGGCCTCTTCATCATCGTCAATGAAATCGCCCATGTCCGAATCATATTCGCTGTCACTGTCTCCAAAAAGACGACGAAGTTTTGATGCATTTTTCGATGGACATTTGCTCGTCGATCTTTTATCGTTATCATTTGGTCGTTTTCCATTTGGTTTGGCCATTGGAATTGATGAAATTTTGAATTGGTTCATGACAACTGTATTCGTTCTTTTTGGCATTTTATTAATCGGTGCTGATAGCAACGCTTTACTTGCCGAACCACTTGATTTTTTGCCATTGGTTGTTGATGATGTTTGTTTTGGCAAAGTTGCAGCATTCAATTTGGGTTTTTTGCTATTGGGTTGTTCATCAGTGATATGCCCCTCATCAGTTGCCAGTGATTTAGTGACCAAACCATTTCGCTTTTGCATTCTTTCTTCCATCTCTTGTTTTTCTATCTCTGTCATGGGTCTGTCGGACTTTTTGCGTTTCGGTGCCACGATCTGAACGGTTTCATGTTGTTTAACTTCGGCCAATTTCAAGAGAGCATTGTAATCCATGGCGGGTGGTGGTGGCCGGTGACTCATTTTCATTTTACGTTCTGCAGCTTCACGTTCAGCTTTTGGATCGTAGAGATTTTTACGCGGTCGCCGTTTTTTGCCATCATCGTTTGAAGTCCGTTTTTGGTTCAACTGATCAACATTTTCCTTTTTATCAGCATCCGAACGTAATGCCATAAATCGTTCATATTTTTGTCTCTTTCGTTCTTTCTCTACGCGCTGTTCTTCCTCTTTTTTGGCCAGATATCGTTTTATACCATCCGAAAGCTTTTTATCTCTTGACTCTTTCTTCGGTGGATTGAATTTGGTCGAGTAAAATTTACTTTTCTGAAAAATAGAAAAAGAAATCATTTTAATTAAAATGTTTGGCAAATATTACGGAGGACGGCAGTCCCCTAAGTGACGCAATACCATTATACATATGGAATATGTATATTTTGCGTCACTCTATATATACGTTAAAGGAATGAAAATCGATACCGCCGACTTTTGGAAAGGGGTTTTGCATATTTTAGTAGTGCTCGAGCACAAAATTAAGAATCCGCAAAAAAATTAAAAAATAAATAGGCTTACGTACGCACGCTGACTTTTACGCATGGAACCGAAATTTTGGGAATAAACTGAAATTATGGTCTATGTATGTATGGTTGCAGTAGCTTAAATGACCGTGAAAACTTGTGAATATCAAAATAAATAATCACTATGAAACCATCGTGTCACCAAAATGGTTGAAAAATGATCAAAAAAGTAAAATGTATGGATTGTGGGTACTCCATTCGGACCAAATAAAATTACACCGATCAACAGATATTGCTCAAAAACTAATCAGCAAGTCTCCTAGTAGTCCCAAATCATCCTGTAAGGTCAGAATTTGAATTGAGTTTTTGGAAGAAGATTTATCGCGATAACAAACATAGATTCTGACGTGGGTCCATAGGGCCCAATTTCCCCCCCCCCCCCTGAAAAGCGGCTCAAAAATTACCCCCCTTGATTTTTAAAAAATCACCAATTACCCCCTAGATTTTTGATCATATTTTTGCTTGATTAATTGTCAAATCAGCATCTTTCAAATCGAATCGAATGTTACATATCAACTTTTATGCATTGAATTATTCAATTTGAATATAAACACTTAAGCTAAAGTGCTATTTCTCTGTTGTGTCTGGCCGAAAAAATCGAAAAATAAATCGAAGGAAACATACAAAAATATTTGCTTCATAAATTATCAGATCAGCCATTTTCGATCTGTTTTTTCCGATTTTTTCTTTCAAAATATTTATTACTTTTCCGCACACACCTAGTGTGTAAGGTAAAGTATTGGAATCGGTCGAAAAATTAACACCCATCAAAAATGTGTTTTTGGGGCCAGGGAACACGAATCTAGCGTTTTTTCGATGTCCGAATGTATGTGCGTACCCTGTACCCTGTACGCAAAAATTTGTTTACACGATAACTTTTAAACAAGAAAAGTAATTCAAAATCTGGTATTGGACTTTGGTTGATACAGTCATGTCTGGTGTGATGCCCATGGGCATCCATGGGAAAAAATCAATTTTTCTTCCAAAAATGATATTTAATGTATTCCTAAATGTTAGTTTTGCGATACAAATAATTTTCGACCCACTTTTCATAAAAAATTTCAAAAATTTTGTATTTTTGTATGAAAGCCATGTCTGTATGATATCGTAATGAGCTGAAACTTTGCACAGCTTATTTTTTTTCACACAAAAATAACATTCCGAGGGTTTGAAGAGATTTCAATGCATAATAGGAGTACCTCCCAAACAAAATTTTGGATTTTTTGCTCAAAAGCGAAAAATTTTGTATGGAAGATACCACTCAATTGTATTGAAATTTCTTCAAGCTTTCAGAATGTTAGCTTTTTGTGAAAAAAATAACATCTGTAAATTTTCACATGATTATGATATCATACAGGCATTGAAAAGTCTATCAAAATTATTTGTATCGCAAAATTTATATCAGATTCAGTTTTCTCATGAATTCATATTTTCGGTAAAAGATACGTAATAAATGCATGTTGTGGATCACAGTGCGGAAAAGTTCATCTTACGGATGTAAGACATTTTATTTTAGAAGTTTTTGGAAAATATTGAAAAAAATAGCCAAAGGCAAGTATATTGACTTTCAGAAGTGTCTTATAAAATTTGATGTTGTATAATATTTTCGCAATCACTACACTAGATTCAATAGCTGTTGATATAGCATAACAATTTTGATTGAATGTTTTTGTCATCAATTTTTCATTTAAGTTTTTATGCAATTGTTCATGTACACTTTACATCTCACGACAAATATACGATGAACTTCGCTAACAAAACAACATGAATTTTTCATATAAAATTAATTGAATTTTATTAATTTTTTTTAAATTACAAAAATACGCATAAATAGTTCAGATCATTTTCGGTTTCAACAATATTCATCGTTTCTGAAGCGACTACGATTGAATATACTTTGTCTGTTTACAATAAGCTTCGGTTATTCGAAAATATTGCATAATATCCATAATTTAGATGATAAGAAATACAGATTTACATTTTGCAGTATTTACACATTACAATTGTAACGAAGCATTACTGCAATTCTATAACAATTGTAATGTTAGATTTTAGCATTACCAGTAATAGCTATTGCTATTCTTATAATCTTACTGGCAATTCTTCGTTACAATAATAATGTGTAACTCAACGCTGCCGCTAATGTCAAAAATCCAACATTAATATTGAGACTTTTCAACACAAATTTAAGTTGAAAATATATTTACAATAGATGGCGTCTGTGTCCGCTCTAAGCTCATTATTGAAATTGCTCATCAGTCCAATCAATTTCAATGATGAGCTTATTGCAGACACAAACGCCATCTATTGTAAATATATTTTCAACTTAAATTTGTGTTGAAAAGTCTCAATATTAATGTTAGATTTTTAACAATACGGGTAACACATTGTTATTGTAACGAAGCATTACTGAAATGCTATTACAATTGTAATGTCAGATTTTTAGCATTACAGTAATATCTAATACAATTGTAGTAGCTATTACAAACATTTATGTTAATGTAATGGTTAGTAACATTACAATTTTAATGTCGGTAAATCTGTATGTTGTGGATCACAATGCGGAAAAGTTCATCTTTCGGATGTAAGACATTTTATTTTTGTTGTTTTTTAGAGATTTTTTTTTCAGAACAATTTTGAAATTACCCTCCCAGATTTTACGAAAATTTTTCAAATTAACCCCCCCCCCCCCCCC